AAGTTTGTTTTTCAGCTAGTAATTAGGCAAAGAGATCAGAATATTTTAAATTTGCAACAACAAATTTTGGCATTACAGAATAACCCATCTAATATACAATGTATAGGTATGGCAGAATATATACCACCAAGTTTTACTGAAAATTACAATAAAGATATCAACTATTTTATCAATGAATTTAGAAAGTATTTAACCGCTTCTGGGAACAATTTGGCAAATAATGCAGATAGGATCAGTGTACTAGGCTTTTTAAGTTATGCTTAAAAGGTAAAGTGGGTGAATAGCTTGAAAGAGAGATAACAGGTAAAAATTGGGAATTATTCAATATTATTTCTACAATAAATCGTACTTTAGCATAATTGTAAGGTGATAGACAAGAACTAATCATAGGGTATTTATCACCTACAACATCAGCTGGACTTAATGCACAACTTGTAATAGCCGATGCTGGTGCTGGTGTTTTAGTGATTCCTAGGCATACAATTTTCAATAAAGATTGGATACCAGCAGGAGGTAAGCCAATATCTAAAGTTGTATATATATCAAATGCAAAATTGGCAAATAGAACAGTTGTATTAGCTGACATCATCTTTAGGCAATTAATTGATTACTTTAAAGGAAACTATCCCACAATTAGACAACAGTATCAACAAGCAAGTATTATTTGGTATAACAATACAAGAATGCGATTCTGTAGGTTCTTATTATATCAAACTCAAGAAGATTGCAAAATATGCTAATATAGAAGATGATAAATTTCGCTGTAGATTTCTTAGGGGACTTTCTCCAGAAAATCAAATGAATGTTCATCATATAGGGCTTAGTAGACTTATTGATGAAATCTTTTCATCTTTAGAAGAAATTGAGAGATATAAAGCTGAATTACTCTCTGGTGCCAATTCCCTTTTACAATCCCTATGAGAAAATGGTCAAACTGAAATAAATTTCATGCAAATTGACTATGCCTAAGACCAAGAAGAAAATTTTAAAGTATTAGAGTTAAACACTGGTTCGCATAGCAGTTGAATAAAAAGTAACTTAGCAGAACTCTTTTGAATGGTAGTAAAACCAATTTTTTTTCCCGTAAAGGTTTACCGATTGAAATTAAAGAGTTATTTAAGAAAATATTAACCAACTATGAGAAAACTAACTAGAAGACCTAAGCATACAATCTCAGTCATATCTATCGGTCGAGATTGAGAAACTAAATTCTTAAATTGCATCTCTATAAACGCAAATAGCTCAAACAAACCAGGTGCGCTCTCAAAATATTCAGAAGCCTTTAGAAAAAAAGGAGTTAGAGTTTTTATATGTGCTTATAGAATGTTTAGGCGCATCTCTAAGTTTGTTTGAAACATATAATAGTTCAGCACTCAATAATTATATTAATGAGGAATTAAAAAAAAGGTTAGGAATCAATAATACCTTTTATGTTAAGGCTAAGCTTTTCAAAAACTCACCTTTTTTAGATTCTCAAATTTTTGCAGTTAAGAAATCGTCTCAGCGTAAAAGTAGCTGTAAATCTACCTGCAAATCTTCTAAAACAAAGTAAAAGAAATCGAAAAATAAGTCTAAGAAAAAGAAAAAATCTAAAAGTGGCCAAGTTTATTTAGCTAGAGTAGACGAACAATCAGATTTGGATTTATCTGATAATGATACTTCTTCATCAGAGTCTGAGAATAGCTCTTCTAGTTCTGAGAGTTCTTCTTCTGAATTAGAGTCTGAAGCTGATACTAATGCTAAAATTAATGTTAATATATCTCAGGTAAAAAAAGTAAAGAAAGAGCATAACACTATTACCTTCTTACAGAAAAAGAAATCAAAACTCATAAGTCTCGTAAATACCTCTTTTAGCATCAGTTTCTATTTTCAAGAAGGAAAAGCATAGTTCAAAAACCTCAACATAGGATGAACAATCCTGCTTAGAAAAAATTATTGAAATAATTATTGAGAAGGTGCTTAATGAAAAGTTTAACACTATTATAATCCTTCATCATCCACAAAATAGTGATTCTAAAATACCGGCTGATTCTGAGAATGATAGTTTATCAATGATCCTATGGAAATAGACTTTGTTTAAAGAAAAAAACCCGTCACAGATGTTGCAATGGTAAAATGTAAAATCAAATGCTTGGTAATCCTAGATGCTATAGTTGATCCTGATGCTAATTTCTGATTATGTCTCAAGATATCTCTAAATGATCAAAGCTAGAAATTAATACAAAAGAAAAACATGATCTTAGAGGTATTGCTACTACTCCCATAGAATCTCTCAGAATTTTTAGAAATGTTCCAGTAAATTTTGCATCTGGATGTACTATATATGCTGATTTTGCTGTAATTAAGTATCCTAAACCGATACTGATCTTATCTAATACACTTCTCAATAAATATAATTATAATTTGCTTGCATCAAAGTGGAAGTTGAGACTAGAGTATAATAGTAAGAAATTTTTTTATACCAATTAATATGCATAAGATCAAGAATAAGCTTGAGATAAATTATGTAAATATTACTCCTGAATATGATGATTTCTTGACTTCAGATAGAATTCGCAAGACTTAAGTGAAGATAGCACATTAAAAAAAATGTGAGTTATAAGCATATGGGAAGTTTGCTAGGAAAATAGGGTTCTGAGACATTTTTTAAAAAATTGAAATTTTTGATACATATTAATCTA